ATGTCGCCGGCTGTGCGTCGGGACGACTCCTCGCGGAAATTTGTTTGCGCGAGGCGCGGCAGTCCGTGATAATCCCCGTGCTTCGCATCCACAGAGGCGCGACGTGCTAAAGTGAAAGAATAACGGAGTACCTAAATATTTAACCGCATTAATCGCGACATGAATAATTTATGCAGTTGCAAGATCGCATGAGCAACTCGGTAAATGGTACAAAAGCAAATGGCGTGTTCTCTGTCTTCTTTCTGTCGATAATCTGTGAAAGGTTAGGCATGAATCCGGAAGCGAGATGGATCAACAAAAAAAGCAAGAGAGAGAAAGAGAGAGAGACAGAGAGAGAGAGAGAGAGAGAGAGAGAGAGAGATAAAGAAAAAGAGAGAAAGAGAATACTGGTAAACTGAACGGTGGTCGAGGGTTCAACTGAACGACGACCATAAAAGCTTGATTAATTAGCCATGCCATGCCGACGAAGCTTTCGTGACGTTACCCCGCCCAATCGAATGTTGCTGCACTGTCGGCGTCTCTCCTCATAATTCTTTTAACTACTATTTTGCGTAAACAAAAACTTGAAGGGAAAGAGAAGACTACGTTATTAAAGACGACACTCGACCGAAAGAATTCAGCTATTTGGATTAAAAGAACAAACATTAATATTATTTTACAATTTAAAAAAGAAAAGTAGATACTTATAAAATATGGGCAAGCTATATATATAATAATAACTCATAATCACACATATTGCTCGAAAACCTTTAGTTTTTTCTTAACATATTTTTTATAATTATTACATACATAATAAATAAATTTAAGAAAATAGTTGTATTTATTATAATTGCATTTACTGAATAAGAATGTATATTTTATTTACCATTTATGACTTGATATTATTACATTAATATTGGAAATTTATAGCATAATTTATAGTACAATTATTATTAATATTATAAGCACAAATGCCGAACACTTTTCCCTCAGTATAAATTTCATAAAATATTAGTAATAAATATTTCTTTGTCAAATTTAATTGGATTATTGCTAAATTTATTACTGCTAAAGTTATACATCACCACTTGAAGATCGAGGCATAAATCTAGATACAAATCGCTTGTTTCGAGCTATACAGACTTAATCTCTTGAAAAGTGGATAAGATTCGATGTCTCTCTCGTCACAGGAAGGAGCACATCGGCGTGTTACCGCGTACCTTATGTAAATGTTCGGCGAATACACGTAGAGGCACGTGTCCACGGGGACCAACCGGCAAATTGAGATTCACGCGTCTACCGACTTCATCGGCCGACATACGATCGATGTTTCCGTCCACGTGCGCACCTCTGCATTCTGGTTTGCCTCACCCGATGAAGGGAAGTACGGAGTCTCCTCTCCCGCCTTTCGCTCGACCTCTTCATATTTTTATCTTTTTATTTTTTGTCCTGTCAACGTGATGAATCGCGCCAGATTTAATTCGGTGCGGTTACCGTGCGGAGAAAATCACTCTAAATTAATTGCACTTATCGCGGATTAATTGCACCTCGTCACGCGTAGCAAGTATTAACGCAGGTCTCCATAGATAATGTATTTGTGATTTATTTCAGTTGCGTGGCGGAACTTGATGGTTTCCATCACGGCAAAATATCGGTTTTGTCAATCTGAGCTCCACTTGTCGAAAGTGATATAATATAAGCCAAAATTGTCGTGCCATCGAATTTGCATGAATAAGATATTTGCAGAACATTTACATAAGCATTTAATTTCTCTTACAATTTTTATTCTAAATGATCAATAGTAATAATAGTAATTTAGTAAAGCTGTATACTCGCAGACTGATAAATCGAATTGCAGGAGCTTTTGTTGACGGCAAGTTACTTTGAGAACCTTAAAATTTGAAATTACTCAGTTCCTCCTGAAGATTGATGGCTATGTGGGTTGTCATTCGCGCGGAAATTTATAACTTGCATGTATATACCGGTCTTCTATACATGAACTGAAGGCGTTATATGATTTCTATAAAAGCTGCATTTCAAATCTATAAAGTTCAAAGTCGCGAGATTGCACGTAAAAATTTATGGTAACGTCCAAACTTCCAACCAAAAATTTATAACTTTTGATAAACATGCGTATATGTACATGCGTAAGTAGATTCTAAAACAACCTGATAACTTTGCATTTTATGTTTGTGCGTCAAGTTTTCTCTCAAATATATATTACAATATTATACTTACATATATTAGATTTAAACATACAATTATTCCGCTTTAAATGTTAGAAACGACGAAGGCATTACAAATTTTAATTAATGTATATTTTAATTTAAAACAAGCATTTAAATTGTAAATTGAATAATATAATAATGATTAATTTATTATTGAATAAGAAATGATTCTTTTATTTTATTGTTATAATTATTTTGTGATTTATAGATTATAAAGGTAAATAATTAGTATTGATACATTATATATAATTACATTAGATAAAAAGACATAGTACGATTTGTATTTCTACTTTTATATTTATATACATAAATATTTGTATACATATATGACCTTATATATAAACTATATTATATGTATCTATATTATATCTATATTATATATAAAGCCGAAGCACAAGAATCTTAAACAATTCTACTTTAATTTAAGTTTTAAATGTTTCTTTTATATAAAAACTGTTACAAAATTTCAAAATTTAAAATAAAGGCCCAGATGTCACACCATATACATGTATAAGTATATACAAGTCGCATGAACATATAACTAAACTAATGTGGTAAATAAAAATAAAGATACAAATAATAAAATATAAATTAATAATATAGTTCACTTAGAATAAATCAATATAAATAAATAAAAAGGCTACAAGCCAGTAAAAATAAATTAAGAATTTAATATTCCGATAAAATATGGTCCATTGAAATTTGTAATATAGAAATCGCTCAATGTGATTGACAAACGATAATCTCATTTTTCCTTTTTGAAAAACTATTCTGTTCACCAACAATTTTTTAACAGCTGTTAGAATCAAATAAAAATTTCAATGGACCACACATATTTTTTGAAAATAAGATAAACATCCGATATGTATTAATATTTTAAATTTTACTAGATAACTTATCTAATATTGTATTTTTGATCTGAGAATCCGATAACTTATGTAATATTATAATTTTTAAATACGTCTTAACATTGAGAATGACCCGATCGGCGTCGAAATGTTTCTTATAATATTTCTTTATATTTATTTTGAAATATTAAATGTTTTTAATTTATTTTTAACTGGCCCCTTTAACTCGTAGTCCTTTTATTTATTTATATTGATAAATAATAAAATCACGGAATACACTTTTGGGAGCGTAATTAAATCACTTTGACTATGCTGTAAAATTGAATTATTATCATGTACCTGGATTGTGCTTGAAAAAGTAATTACTATCCGTATGCAAATCTGCTTCAGTAGCTGCACATAGAACGTTTTTATTAACAGAAAAATGTTAATTTTATTGTCAGTACTTACAACAGAATCGACCAACGCTACGACGTCTTAACACGACAATTATTTTTTGTAAATTTTATTTATATTAAAATTTTTGTATCATATATACATTATATTTCCATTTTTATCATAGCTGCTTTACATTTAATATTATAAAATACAAATGTTAGATCAATTAAAGCTTTGATAATTTAGTACAGGATAATTTCGTATTTAGTAAAATAATAAAAAATATCGCTTTCTTCGAAAATTTGCAAATAGAATTTTAATTTTACAGGATTACATTAAATATTGCTCATAATTATATTCTTATTCAATTTGATAAATAGAATTTAATTTCTTGATTAAATTATAGTCTATGAACGTTATTGAATTCATGCAAATAGTAGACATGTAATTACTGCGCTATAAATAAATCATATATAATGATTTATTTATTTCTACTATTGCATATATGTAACATCTCAAGGTAAAATATCTTCATGATATTGGCAAATTTATTCATTAAATCAGTTAATCATCAACTCATAAAAAGAGCTGCAGAAAACTTGCCAATTGGATCATAGATTCAGTTATCAGTACTCGAAAAAAGCGAAATTTAGTTCGGTCGTTGTACGTTGAGGAACTCAGAGTAAGCAGTTATACAACGAAGGTGTGACGTAGTTCTTCCTAAAAGTTTATAACTTTATTACGAATATTCTGGGAGGCCTGGAAAGAATTCTCTGATGCGAAAGTTTGGCAACTTCTCGCATTCTTAGCGCGTATTTTAACTTTCTCTTCTTGACTTCTATTCGCAGCAAATTCCGTGCTTCTCAATTTCTTCCTTAGATTTGTCG